GTATCTTTCAAATAAAAACACACTTTTATTGATTTTTTTAAATAGAAAGGAAAAGGCTTGAGGTAGGCGTTGGTAATTGTGGCACCCTTCTTCCATTCTACCCTACCTGTGAGGTTTCTTTGGTATCTTATTTTTGTTATAGCTTACCATTGTTCTGAGTAACAGAGCTGGCAATTATGTAATTGCCAAATATATTTTTTCAATACCCATTTTTCTGCTCATAGTGGAAGTGCCCAAATTTCTATTGTGGGTCCATTTAATCATCAGAGGTTGAGTCTCTGTCTGCCACCTTTATATTTGGATCTTCTATGCTGATTAAATCTAAATAGTTGATTGACATCATGCACCAGTTTTGTAGGAGGTATTTTCAAATTTCAGTATCTTATGCTAAAAAGGCATATAAAATAATACCCAAAGACTCTGAACTCTCTGTTCTTTATCATAAGCCTTGTTTGCAGCTAAATTCTCATTATACTTTTCAATGGGAAATCAGCTTTAAGCTGGATCTTACTGCGTTTGTGAATAAAAAATGGAAGTAATAATTGATCAAGCATAGGGAGAGCTAACCTGCTGGCCAGACACAGACCTGCTTTACATTTCTAAAGCATCTTTTCTTTTCATTGGAAGGCTGCACTTTAACCACAGGCTCCATTGCCGCTCTTCGGTCCAGATCAGCTATTTACTTTACATTTCTATAAAGAGCTGCTTAAATAGGTTGAAATTTTCAAAAGAAAATGAACATAAAGTCTGTAAAGGAAACCCATGGTCTCCTTTGGGGTGGGAGAATGATCTTGCCCAGCAGGGAGTGGAGAAAACGTCAATGGCACCTGTTGTGTGTATGGGAAAGGGAGGGGAGAAAGGGCCCAGCCTGCAGTATGATTAGAAGCAGTTTTATTGCATTAAAAGTGCCTGCTCCGCAGGGGGCCAGTGATTAGAATTCAGTTTGGTGACCCCCCTATGCTATTTACAGCCTGCGGGTGTACTTTTGAGACCTTGTAGTACAAAGAAAAGGGCTGGTTTTCGGCCTCTACTATTTAGATTGTAAAGTAGAACTTCATTTTTGGTAAGTAAATCTCACCCTTTTTAGTAACAGGCAGAGCCTTTAACGTTGTTGATGAGCCATCTGTTTAGTCCAGCTAGTTTCAAATTAATGAAGACTCTTACTCTGCAGGTCTTTCAGTATTCGGTTGTTGGAATTAGCTTTATGTGAAAACCTACATTTAATGTGCTGTAAGGAGGATTTGGGGACAGAATATGTAAAGAAAAATGATGGAATGACTTGTTATATGAAGTTTAAAAACTGAAGGATATAGAAATATTTCCATAATTATCAAAGCAAGCAGCTGGTAGATTTTAGTTGAATGATTTAATTAACTCTATTTAGATACAGAAATTAATACTGGGAGATCCTAGTGGATAAGAAATTATTTTTGTTTGTGTCTTTATTGCTTTGTGAAGATTTGCTTCTGAAAATCAGGACAGAAGGTATTAAGAAGATACAAAACAAAAAAAATTACACTTTTCAAAAATAAAATAGTAAATGAAGGTATTTTTTAAAGTTTTCAGTTACAGCTACTTGGGGACTGATATAAGCACATTTGGTTTGCTAGTTTGTTAAATTGTTACAATATGTAGTAGGTATCTCTCCATAGAACTGAAAATACCAGCTAGCAGAGACAGCAATTGATGTACTTAGTATCCATGATTACTGATTCATCATCCCTAGAAGGAAATAGTAATGAAACAAGAAGGCTTTGGTAGTTACGGATTTAATTTTTTAAGTGCTTTATTTTTAAGTCCTCTTTTGAACAAGGTCGTGAATGATAAAACGTGCTAGTCAAATCAGTAGATGCAATCCATCAAGCCATCTTTTCACACATCCTATTGTTGCTGCATTTTTGTAGATATAAGTGATGGATTGTACTTTAGTGCTCTTAAAATGTGCTAGGCTTCTCCTGTTTTGAGTTAGATAATCAGAGATGAAAAAAATAACAAAAAGCAGGTGTAGCATTGTGTCTGGCATAAAACTCGGAGATACTAATTTTATTCTGTGTTTCAAAGCTCATTTATATAAGAGCAGTGTTTCTATTATGTAAACACTTGTTTTTGTTCACAATATTTCCTGTGTATGGCATTATTGTGGGCACTTTGTGTTTCAGATGCTACTTAGGAGCATTATTTCAGTTACTCTGTATAGTGACAGGACAATTATTTTAACTTCTCATTAACCATTTGCCCTTCTTTTGCTTGTATTGTACATATTTGCCTAGTAACTTCCCTTTTTGAAATGCTTAATAAAGAACTTCTTCCAAGATTATATTTCTGCTTTATTTGACCTGTAGCATTCTGGATAATATCTTCCTGTTATATTCTAATATATGGTAGATAACAGTTTCAGATAGGCCACAATAAAAGAGAAACTGATTTGAAGCAAACCAGCTTTCACAACCAAGTTGTGCAGAAGCCATCATATTTGGAAATCAGACTAATTTTTATAAACTCTTAATCCCTAGTAATACAACTGCTTTAAATTTTCAGACAGTGGGAGTAGCTCACCGTTGCCCAAGTATGCCTCCTCTCCTAAGCCCAACAACAGCTACATGTTCAAACGAGAGCCCCCAGAGGGATGTGAACGGGTGAAGGTCTTTGAGGAAGTGTCGTAAGTAATGCCTTTTATATCAGCTGGGATCTGCAAGGGCGGAAAATCTTTTTGTTGGACTTTTTTGAACTGCAGATGAATAAACTACTCCAGCTGATGAAGGTTTTTTTTTCTTCTTTCAGAAGCAAACCAGTCTTGCCAATTTTTCAAGGCAAGAAGTTGAAAGTGTTCCTGTCAGTTTGAAGGGGGAGGTGGGGAGAGAGAGTGGAGCACTTTTACCCTTGGTCATGTGGTCCATACTTATGAAAGCACAGCCAAAGGGGAAAATGGAAGTATGGAGTATGTGTAATGTTTTTCATTCTTAAAAACCTGTAAAGGCAGCTGTAGCAAGAGTTCTTTTGGTAGTTTTTGAATGTTTTAATTAGCTTTGTGTGTGTGTGTGTGTTGGTCTGTATGTGTACGGAAAAGAACAGTATTAATATGAAAGACTGTGACACACACATGCTCTAAACAGATAGGAGAGATACCATAGGTTGTATGGGCACACTGATGAAGTTAGAAGATATTGTTTGAGCTCAGTAAAAACTATTATCTGGGTAATTTATCCCTGGATTCTAAAGAAAATAAAATTGCCTTCCTGGGTGAACATTTAGAAAACTTAGCAAAAAGAAACTTTGCTGCCCCTTCTTGTGTGTGTGGACGTAGTGAATTTTCTGTTGAGAACACTCCTGTGAAAAGGTTTTTCCAAATGGTTCGGGTTTCTGAAAATTTTGAACCTTCTGGTTGCTTTCTTCGTGCATGTTATTTATTGCTGTGGATCAGCCAGCTGACTATCAATATGGAAGATGTTTGCCCATCTGTCAAGTAATTCCATTCTTTTATCATTCTGCATTTTAGCAACATATAATACTACACATTTGTATCAGGCTGTACTGAAGTATTCAGATTTGTAACTTTAATTACTCTCCTGCTCTATTTATTATAGGACTCGTCAGCCTGTCTCAGCCCCTCTCTTTTCATGTCCTGACAAAAACAAAGTTAATTTCATCCCAACTGGATCAGCTTTCTGTCCTGTAAAACTTTTGGGTCCTTTACTTCCTTCTTCTGAGCTGACTCTCAAAGGCTCTCCAAACCCTGGTCAAAGCACGCCTTTGAGTACTCTGACTGTGGAGCAGCTTTCTTCTCGGGTTACTTTCTCTTCTCTGTTGGATGACACCAGCACAATGGACTCTTCAGAGGTCTTAGCACAACAGCCATCCCAGCAGTCACCACAGCTTTTGCAAGAACTGCAACCTGAAGGACCCTCCTCTCCTCAAAGCTATGTGGTAATCTAGAGCAAAATAGACCGTCAGTCTAAAACACAACTGCATGAGTGGCAACTTTTCCCGGAAAAAAAAAAAAGCTACTTTTATCAGCATCTTTCTATATTTCAAAGCTCTTCTTGGCAGGGACAGAAATGCTCTGACTCAGCATTTTTGTATTGGTGGGGGGAGCAAAACGCTTGCAGAATCTATGTATCATTAAGCATTTTAAGTGGATACTATGCATTTCATAGAATGACCAGAGTAGTACTGTGTCCTGTGTGTTCTTTTTAAAATTCTACAGTATAAATAAGCTCTGTATCAAACAAAGGTTGCCTGTCTAAATAGAAAATGTCTTGCTGTGTTGTGTTCTATAGAAGATACTGTACTTCAGGATTATGTTTACAATTTATCCAGGTATTTATGTTTTGAACTTCTGTAATACATACAATGCAAAAAAGGAAGAAAAAAACCCAAAAATTAAAAATGGCCACAACAGTTGCACAGTGCCCACTCGAGGGCCTAGCTTCAGGTACTTCTCTCGAAGTCTAAACTCAGGTAACTTGGAATGTATATCATACTGGGATATAAAATATTTTACAGCTAAAAAGCTAAAGAGGGAACATCACTCTTCTGCCTTTTTATTATTTTATGCATTAATATTTCCTCATTACATTCCACTTTTTTTGGGAAAAATGCATTCAGATCCAGGGGAATGAGTACTCTGGACATGGGTGAACATGAGGAAAACCAGCAAATTTGTGATGTACAGCATCACGTCATGTGGTTACAAGTAAAACAACTGTTGCATTTCATTTCATTGTAAAAATTATGGCATTGAAAAGTTTCAGGTGTTGCACAGTTAATGACTGTTAAGCTGTTCTGAATAAAGTGTTCAGTACGACACTGTATATAAGAAACATTCCATGGTGTGTGTGTGTGTGTGTGTGCGTGTGTGTGAGAGTGAGTGAGTGAGGGGGAGAGAGAGAGAGGCCTAAGGCAAGAATGTTTTTGTTTGATTTCTGCAAATTCTTCAGGTTTGAGAGGTTGGTGAGAATTTCCTCTCAAGCTTGTACTGGTGAGTTAAGGTTGTGAAATGCTACTGTTAACAATATTAAGAGTCTAATTAATGTTTAGTTTCTCTTTTGAGGAAATATTAATTTGTGTCTTGGTTGCAAAGATTCTCAGTTCTGAATGATAAATTTTGTTTTATCTATAGAGTGGGTATATTGCACCTGGATTAAGAAAAAATTCTTAAGCAGCATATAAGGTTGTATTTAAAAAAGCAAATCAAAAACAAAAAGGTAGGAAAAAAGCAATAGTTAAGTTATGCTATCTATTCGAAGTCTTTCTAGTACCCTAGTAAATTTCTTTTTATGTTAGACAGACTGTGCTGGAGTGTGTCTTCACAGGAGCTGCGAATCCACGGAGCATCCAGCAGCATTTTTTTTACTACTCTGAAGCTGTGAGAACAGTAGTTTTGGAGATACTAATCGGCAATACAAAGAGGACCCCAAAGGCAAGAGGCATTTAATATTCCTGTGTCTGTGCTTTCGGCTCTGGGCAAGTAGCTTTATGCAAGAAGGCTTGACTCCTCTGTTCAGAAACGGAAAAGGTTGATATGACTGCAGCTGCTGCAGCGTTTATGCCCATTCCATTACTTTCTTTTGAGGACAACTTGGGGATGAGAAGAAGGGGAATGATAAAAAGGCCTCAGTGAAAGGTACCTAAGAAAAGACATGAAAAATAAGTAGCTGCTATATGTTGTTGTATGGCTTCCTTTGTATTATTACCAAAGAATTTGGTAAAAACCTGTTAGGGAGGGTAGACCAGTGGTGTTTGTACAGTTGTTGTATGACTGTAGAAGCATGCTGAGTGAAAGTTAGTTACTTTCACACAGTTTTGTTTTGTTTTTTCCCTTCAGGAAAAGACATCTATCTCTAATCTTGCTAAACTCAGGCTTTGGTGAAAGCACTATGTAATTTGTATGTTAAAGCATAAAGAAAGAGCATTCAATTCTTCTGACAAGTGTGCATTCTTTAAAGTTTTAAGTGTTAAAGTGCATTTCCATTTTTATTCTTGGATTGTTTCCAAATGTAACAATAGCTTGGTTCTTAATGTTAGGGTTTATGGAAAGCTCTGTCAGGTTAGATCAAGAATGAATTCTGGTGTACAATATTTACAGTGATACCGCTTGTTCTGTTGTTTCATGAGAAACTAAATATTAATTATCACTTGCATTTGTTCTTAGCTGATTGGAAAATTCTGAATAAAATGTATTAAAATTAATGCTTTGCTATGTAAAATTTCCAGCAATTGTTGATCTCTGATATATCCTACATTCAGTTGTAGAAAACTGTCAGATACTGTTTCAAGAATGTTGTACATAGTTGTACTGTCATTTCTAGCCTCTGTGCTGAACAGTATTCAAATTACCACACAATATTGCTTTACCCAAGGAAGAGTGTGGCTTTTGTTTTGTATTTTTTTCCAGTATAGAAGTTCCTGTGTCTATTTAAATAAAATTATTAGTAAAACATGCACTACAACCTGCAAAATATAATATGACTGATTTATTTGTAAGCTGCGTAGAAGGTAGTTGAAACAGTCAGAAAACGCATAGGGTTCTGCACTTCCCCGCAGCAGGTGTAGTTGTCACACATTGTTTTGCTTTCAGTTAAAATTCATCCTTGCTCATGGGAAGAACATCCAGTTGAAACGTATTTCATAGGGTGGGTCAAACCACTTTATTTCAGTCATCAACCAGGAAATCACAGGGTGGGTATCTTTACTGTTGGGCTTTCTAAGCAATAATCAAACTTTGTCCTTAAATTGTGTCTTTACATAATTAAAACAATTCATTTAGAGGACTGTTTCTTTCTCATAAGATGGTAAGCTAGAATACAATGAGAACTTAACATACATTTCAGAAAACATTTGCTTATCTACCCAGGGCATGCATGCTGTTAATAGTATGTATCTTTAGTTTCTCATGATCTTAATACAAACCATAATGATCCAATGACTAACTTACACGTTTCTTATTATAAAGACCATTTATCCATTTTAATATGGTACGTTAAAAAAATATTCCCATCCTAAATATAAAATGGCGTGTAAGAGCAGAAAGCAGCTTTTGTGGCATCTCCTGCAAGCCACAGAGTTTTGGCAAAATGAGTGCACTGCAACGTCATTCCTTCTGCTAGTGAAAGATGAAAGAAAGCTCTGATTCAAAGCAGAGCCTTTTGTGTTCAGGGGTATGTGTCCTGTGTTTTCCTATTTTAAGATGTCCCATGTATCCAACCACACTGGGTAACAAACATTGGTTTAGATATCTTAGCCTTTTTTGTGCATGTGAAAACAACAGCCAGGGTTCCGTTTGACATGGGATATTTTACAGCAGCCACTCTAGCCCTGCTTTTCTCGCTAGAGAAAAGAGAAGAGGGTATTCTGCACTCCTGCTATTGTCTGGTAAGATGAAAATGGGAGATGTGATGGAGGAAAAAGAACCAAAGGCTGCAGAGGAAAACAAATTGGAAACCCAAAAGTAGGAAAGGGGTATGTGAGAAAGAGCATGCAAATATTGGAGCCTTTCATTGCATTATTCTTAGGTGATGGAAAGAATATATTACCTTACTTAGGTAAGCTTTCTCACACAAAGATTCTGAAATTAAATAGTAATTGTGAAAACTTGAAAAGGGAGTGTGGAATGCCTATAAGCTGAAAAAAGGAACTTCCCTAAGGAAACTACTTTCCCATAAGCAGCCCAAACTGCAAGTCTAACTTCCTTAAAAAAAAAAATCATTTTTCTTCTTGTAATCATCTTGCAAAGGAATTCTGTAAGTCGTCTTAAAAATACTTGATGAAAAAATCTGATTCTCATCTAAGCAAATGATAGCTCACCTAATTTAAGAATTCTGTTCATTTACTTATTTCAGTCTATATACAGGTAGTCCTCAAGTTACAACAGTAATTGGGACCGGAATTTCCATTGCTTAGCAGTGTGGTCATTAGGCAAAACATCATGTGACTGCATCACTTGGTGACTGCAATCCCAGCACTCCCCATTGCCATTGTTAATCTGAGTGCCCACTGGTCATTAGGCGAGGACCCACCCTGATCCAAGCTGTTCCCTGCTTGGTCTCTCCCAGCCCTGAGCCTTGGTAAGGTAAGGGACTGCCTCCTCTTGAGCTCCCCCACCTGCCTATATCCCCCTGCTATACTGCCCTTTTGGATGCCCTGCACAGCAGCACTCCGCCCTCAGGCCTCAACTTCAGTCCCAGCGCCGCTGCAGCCAAAGAGCATCACCTCAAGCCCTCTGCAGCAGCCAGCCACCACAGCCAAAGCCCCAGCTGCCCCATACCCCGCAGGCCCTGATGCCCCCAGATGACTGCTATCTGCTGCTACTGATGATGCACACCTGACCTAGCTCTATGCAAGGCAGCTAGCTGTTGGCCACGCCAGGCCTTCTTCCCAAGGCTGCTCGTGCAAATCTTCAGAAGGCCTCAGAAACTTCCAGAAGGCTTTCTGAAGCATTATCATGGTCAATTGTACAAAAAGCCTACCATTTTAAAATAGAAGTTTTTCTGTAATATGGCAGGTGGTTTTTATGCATTTTTGTTGAATTACTTACATAAAATAATACACTTCTCTGAAATCCAAAACTTCTCAACAACTTTTGCAGAGGGAGGGGGCAGATCAGAGGCAAAGGGGAATTGGCTTGTTGCTTCACATTTCTTGATACTTATACCGATATGGGCCCTCCATGTATTTTGGACTCCCATTTCCAACCAGCAACCGACATTATAGCCAATGGCCAGGAATCCTGGAAGTTGTCAGGTGTTCCATTACAAGCCACCAGTTTTCATCCTAAATTTAGATGAATAAGGAGAACAATTTTCTCAGGAACTGAGAATTAAGATTAAAAAAATCTAGGCATTATAACCTGGAATGCGGAAGCAATTTGCCCCAGGGAATTAAGTAAGAAACAATGTGGAAAAAAGGGCAACTACCAACGTTAGTGAAACCGCACCCGGTTGTTCCATGTGCTTTGGAATGTTTTCTGGAATGGAGTTTGAAATGTGCTTCAGGTTACTTATTCCCAAAGTCAAAGTCTACACTTTCACAGTGGATCACCACATGAAAACTAATGTCCAGGCTGCTTGTAGTAGCAAAGAGAAAATCGAATAGCATCATTCTTCCTTGGCTATAAAATCTGAACTCCTGGATATAACAGATCAAGGGAAATCTTCAATACTATATGCAATTTAGGAAATCTATTCTCACACCAGTTTGAACCGAAAAGGGAGGAATATATCCAATGAAGTCCCATTATATCTTTCTTGTGTACAGTGGAACCTCGGGTTACGAACTTAATTCGTTCCGTGACTCTGGTTGCACCCCGAATTGGTCGCAACCCAAAGCAAATTTCCCCATAAGATTCAATGTAATTACCGTTAATCCGTTCTGGCGTGGAGGACAGGGAGGCAGCTATTGCTTGGAGGGAGAGTCCCCCTCCCACGAACTTAATTCGTTCCGTGACTCTGGTTGCACCCCGAATTGGTCGCAACCCAAAGCAAATTTCCCCATAAGATTCAATGTAATTACCGTTAATCCGTTCTGGCGTGGAGGACAGGGAGGCAGCTATTGCTTGGAGGGAGAGTCCCCCTCCCTACATCCACGTGTCAGGGGCGGAAAATGGCCACGGACGTGTCGGGTGGAAAAATGGCCGCGGGCCACACGTCGGGCGGAAAAATGGCCGTGGACCGTGTCACGGGAGGGAAAATGGCCACGTATCCTGTT